GTGGGTAACAGACACACCAGAGACGGCTGGTCACTGATCAGTAACGCACTTCTTTTCTTTTGTTTAGGGAGTTATTTTGCAAGAGATGCCAAATACTCAAGTAAATTCTGCCACACTACAGCAAACCACAACGTCGTTCTTCAAAAACATGGCCTGGCGCCGGCCATTTTCCAGAGCGACCCACCATATAAATCGATGTTCCTGGCCCGGGTGCTCGTTGGGGACTACACAGTCGGACAGTCGAGGTTTTGCCGACCGCCCTCCAAGGACACACGGGTCACAAACTTCTACGACAGCTGCGTGGATGACATCGCAAACCCAAAGATTTTTGTGATCTTTGACTGCAATCAGATATACCCAGAATATTTAATAGAGTTTTATTAACAAGGATTCAGTAACATAACGGATATAAGGGAAGGGCCCCACAGAGGAAAGGGGCAAATTCTCTGATCCAGCCTGAGCACTTTAAATCAGACTGGGGGGGTTTCATTTGTCTGTGGTTTATTATATCCATGTGTTGTCAGGTTTTACACCTGCTTAAAATACTACAGACAAAAGGAAGTATATATTCTTTCAAAGGAAAGAAGAGGCATGTCCTTTCAATGGAAGGTGGGAGTGTAACATTTGTCTCTGTAGTGTATTTGGACCTCATGTATTATTTTTTTGGTCTCTCTGCAATGTCTGTCGACTTTCCTTACTGCAGCAAATAGGCCAGAAGGCTGAGCTTTGAGTCTGACACGGGCATCGGGGTAGGGCTCCGCAGACGGGCTGGGAGAGCCTGTGTCTGGGGGGTCACACCCCGCAGGGGTTACTGGTCTGCTGTGCGAGGACCGTTCACAGAAAGGTGACACCACCGTGTGGTCATGGCACAACATCACAGCTGGGGTCTGGCTCCTGGAAGGCTTGCAGTGAACTGGGGTTTATGGTTTAGTGGCTCATTAACTACCTCAGATATTCATCACAGACATCGATCTGGCCGATAACTCCTGTTAGACTGAATCTGCTGTCATTTCACCCTCCCTGCACTGAAGAGGGCTAGAATGTGATGCTCTGACACGGATGTCGTCCGGCAAATGAGCACGCAGATATCAGGGCCACGCCCATGCCAAGATCATGTGAATAAGGACACCCCACCCAAAAGCGTCTGCCGTCTTTGCCCTCCAGTGGGATCCCTTCTGTGGTTTGTGTTACATGTTGCCATATTACATGCGACGATGGAGGGCAGGTTCTCCGTTTTGGATCATCTTTCCAAGGCTGGAGGCCGAGCTGATCCAGGAGATGCTTTGGCCACGGTTCGGAGCATGGAGACAGCAGCTGGGAGCAGAAGCAGGACCATCTTCTGAAGGCAGAAGGAGAAAGCCTGCTTTGCAACGAGCTGGGCTGCAGGGATCTGTGGGCTTAGAGCTGATGGCTTCTCCAGAGCTGCTGACAGATTTTCCTGTGAGGCCAGTCGGAGACCAGCTCAGCCCTCACTGCCACGCGAGAGCAGTGCAGGAAGGTGAAAGATGACGCACCATTTGCGTTTATTTAGCCGCCACTTCTGTGAGCTTCCAAAGGACCTTCTTCTGAAGATCTGTCTGCAGTAATTTGCCAGGTTACATTTCAGGATGGACTGCTTGTGTCCATCACAGATGACAGGAATGTTAGTGTTTTTTATTACCTACGGGGGGCAGTATAGCACGTGCGGGGGCTAATTTAACTACCCTTTCCATTTTCCCCAAGGCAAGATGGGGCCCAGAGAGCCAGGGAGCTCGGCTACAATAATAATTAATAATAACGACACTTTATCGATCCCCGTGGGGAAATCCTCTTCTCGCCTCCCTCCTCCTGTAGGTGACCGTAAGCTTGGCCCCAAAGGGCAGCCTCACGCAGAATAGCTTAACATAGACTTTGGTGTATGAGGTGAGGAATGCTAGGGGTGAGTTCCTTTCTGTGGGGGGAGCAAGTTCTGTTGGGCACCTCAGTTTAGTCTCTACCAGACAGTAGGGTTGGGTCACCCCTGCGGAATGGGTTTTCCTGTCGCTCTTACCTGTATGTCACCTGTCCCTTGTTTCTGTGGTCCTGCTGCCAAAATAATGAATTGTGTTTTGTTTTTCTTTCTGCAGTGTGTTTTTCTTTCTTGAAATGTGATTAAATTTTTCAGTTTCGGAAAAATCTGATGTGTCATTTCCCGTTTTTGGCCGAGTGATGTTAAGCACTGTATTACCACGAGGGGGCAGCAGTTAGCCGATGGGTCCCTTCGTCGTGGCCGGTGGGACTGTGATCAATTCTGCTTTCGCGTGATGCCGGATCCTGCGCTTCCACTCAGCGACACTCGCTTTGGGTTTCCACAATTTCAAATTTAAATTTACTGATATTACATATTACAGGTATATGTAAATGTAAACCCTACTGAACAAAAAATATAATCTCAATTTTAAAATGTTCATTTTCAGTACGATTTTTCAGTTATACATTTAGTATAAGAAGAAATATTTGGATAATTTCTCACCCCAGTAAATTCCCCAGTAAGTGCAAGAAGATGCTCCTGTTCTGGACTGTGTCACTGTGTGATGCTGAGTCTGCAAGCTGCTGATGGGAATAATCTCGTTTTAGCTTCTGAGGCTAGCAATTATCTACAGTTGGGAGCGGTGTGTCTGCTTTAGTCACTGCCTGCAGTACCGCTTTCCGCCTCGTGGTGGGAGCCTCTTCATGCAGTGAACAGGCATAAGCGTATGTTTGCCCGCGGCCGTTTCAGTGACGTAATCATTTTGATGATTCATCATGTCTTCAGGCTGGTCGTATCTACTTCAGCAGACTCGCAGGAGACGGCAGTTTCCCCCTGGCAGGGTACAGTCGTCCTGGCCTCAGGGATCAGGTTACGAGTGTCGATTCTGGCTTCTTTGGCCATGGACAGTAGACGCTACGCCAGCTCCTGTTGACATTCACATCTGAGACACATGTCCCTGTCTGCTTGTGGTGACTGCCGCATGACCATTCACCATGGTAACCTATTTATTGATTGGTTCAATCATTGTACGGCAGGGAATTACTCAATGCTCTAATATCTTTGTGTAGTCGTCGAGTAAGCAATGCATTGTATTTTTATTTTTTTATATATTTTGGCGATTCCTGTCATTATATTGACCCCAATAACAGGATCCATCTTTTAAACTGCTCTCTGACCTTCAATATGACAGATGAGCCCAGGAGGCCTGCAGGGCGTGTCTAGATGTGAGTCACGACAGAACGACAGAAGCGTTCGAAGTGAAACGGCAGGTCTGCTGCTGCCCCGATTTCTTGGTGCTGTCAGACCTCAGCGCTGCAGGGGTGCAGCAGGAGACAGGAATCCGGGAGGGTGAGCGCTAACTGAGGTTACCTCCTCACGCCTATATAATTCCTAGACACATAGTCATCGAGCAAAAATACTGAACATAGTGACATCATTCCAAAAGTTTGTTTATGTCTGCTTGATAGGGACATTATAATCCTACATGGCAGTGTTATATTATAACATTATAACCTCAAACATGCACTGATAATTGATTATTAACTGTATAATGCACTAGCGGGCTAAGCCTCTGTGCCTGTCACCGGAAGGTCGCCTGTTCGATCCCCCACCTCGGCAGAATAGCCACATCTGCGGGCCCTTGAACGCAACCCTTAACTCCCAGCTCAAGTGGCTGCCCTTCACTGCCAAGCTCACTGTCACCTGCACGTGTGTCAAGGAGAGTAAGATGGAGGCGAAAAGGGACTTTCCTGCATCCATCCATCAATTATTATTATTAGTTTTTATTAGTTGTTACATGTTATATAAGTCACCACATACCTTACTCCTTCAGTTTTTACATAAAATAATAGCATTAAAATGTAACACATGGCGTATCCTTGCATGCTTAAGCCAAAACTGCACAAATTTTAGTCTGCAGTAATACTTTTACTAATACGATTTCCATCAGTCACTGTTTTCACACTGTTCCCATTCATATTTGTATGATGTAAGACATTTCATTTTTTTGGCTGGATTTTCGTTGTCCTCCTCGTCTGTTTCACCACCCATCTCAATGTACTGTAACTTCATTTTTAATTTTTTTTACGTACTTGATCTTTGAACATGGCAGCAGTGTTCGATGTTGCACTCGTCACAAACCCTGCAGCGCATGTAGAGCATGACTTGTCATGACATTGTTTGATTGGCCAAAGATACAGTACATTCTTTGAGCATATTTCATCGCCAGTGAGACACAGTGGGGTCTCTTACCATTAATCATCTGACTGAATTTGAGAGCGTTAATAACACACATGAACAGAAGGCTCAGATTCCAGGACATTCTGTGTCCCGGAGTGAAATTGTTTTTTTCCAGGACAGACGACCAAAATCCTGGGTGGTCCCAGCAGATCCTGGACCAGTGGCAGCCCTACTGGTAACACATATGCTGATGGTGGAGGATGCGGCGCAGGGGAGTTACCGCCATCTTGGCGTCTCTGACATTAGAACGCCGGGTACATGTCCGTCAGCGCTCTCACCCTCAGATTTGTCAGACCAGACCAGAGCCCCCTTTTCCTTCCATTGCATCAGTCATGTTGGCCCAGGCTACTGTACCTGAAGGTACCTTACCGAGCCTTTGCTGGATGCCACGGAAACCAGCGTTGCCGGGAAACCGTGTCCAGTCGATGCACTGCAGAATAGAATCCGATCCCTTTTATCGCCGGCTCCATGAGAATGTGGGAAATGTGGAGGAACGCATGTGTGCAAAAGCCATATCAGGGCAATTAACCGCCTGCGGGCCTAATTACCAGAATGACATGCCGGAGAAGCACGTGAAGAATCTGCAGCTGACATAGAAAAATGCTTTGCTTCATTCCTCTCTGCAACTGGAAACAGCTAGTCTATAGATAGCTCCTAATGAGATAATTAGTCATTGTGACAGCGAGTTTTAATGGTTAGTGTTCACCCGCTGTAGTGCATTCATGCAGCATACCTGCATGAATTACATTCAGAGGCAGACTCTGCAGAAGTGTTTTCATTCATAACTCAGATTACTCGTATATACGTGGTAAGAAATACCGCTTGTGATTACATGTGTAGGGAATAAGCAGCGTCGACCGCAATGGTCACATGACTCGCACGAAGCCCTTCCATTGGACACTGTTTGTAACCTACTCTGTGTGTTACTTTGTCAGAAGCTCAGGCTCATTTCTTTGAATTATTCCAGAGACGTCTCACGTTTTCCATAAACCTTTTTCCAGTAAACATTTGCTCAGCAATCACATTAGTCTGAGGAAGCTGTTGCCCCATTTCAGACATCACCATTTATAATGCCAGACCATTAGACTGTTCATTTAAAATTCATCAAAAAAAAGTAATTTCCAGACCTTTGTAAAATGTATGCCCTTCCTCCCTCTTCCCGTGACAGTGATTATTAGCGACAGACTGTCTCAGGTTATGATTTAAGACCAGCATGAAAATGTAGAGTGTTTAATTATACTTAGCTCTGGGTCGTCTGTGTTTGGGGAGAAGAAAGCTTTCATCACGCAGTAAGAATATCATAAGGCACAAAGGCTGAGCGGGTGCACAAGGCTGTGAATTCATCTTCTTAAATGTCAAACCTACGGATCCACTGAGGAGTTTAACAGAACTGAGAAACTTGCCTTCAGTCTCTCTCTTTCTCCCTCATTCTCTCCCCTTCATTTCCTTGTCTTTCTTCTCCATCTTTCACAGCTTCTCCTGTTCCTTCTCCCTCCCTCCCTCTCTCTCTCTTTATCCCTTCCTCTCCTTTAAATTTTGTTAATTACACCCGTGTAGTGTTTCATAAGATGTTAATTGGTACAATCATCTTGAATATATACATGTCTTATTGAGCACAAATTTCCAACCACATTTACACAACACATTTGAAGGCAAAACCCTCATTGTAATTTCATTGAGGTATTTGTTAATTTGTTCATGCACAGAAATGAGCACCAACATTGTTGAATCATTATTACAATCAAACCATTAGGTGTCAAACTTAAGAAATATGTAATGTGTATTTAAATACTCTCCAGTCATACTTTGATTATTACTACAAGTGTTTACATTTCATTATTAAAAACACCAGTGAAACGTGTCCACAACATGCATGCATTTTATTAATGATGTTATCTAGAATATTTATACGCCCTAAACACTTCAGTAACACAGCTGCCAAAACTCCAACCAGGACAAACAGGCACTGCTAGGTTACAATAACCAGACAGGGTTAAGCAGTTCACTAGCACTGCTAGGTTACAATAACCAGACAGGGTTAAGCAATTCACTAGCACTGCTAGGTTACAATAACCAGACAGGGTTAAGCAATTGACTAGCACTGCTAGGTTACAATAACCAGACAGGGTTAAGCAGTTCACTAGCACTGAAGAAAAGATTCCCTAACTTTATTATAAAAAATCTATAAATTCAATGAATTAATAGTACTTAAGAAAAATTTAATTCAGTTCATTTCTATATAGCGCCTTTCACAACAGAGTCGCTCTAAGGTGCTTTACATGGGTGTGTTGTGATACATGACAACATCAGTACCATCCATCCATACATCGTGTGTATCTGCATGATCTCTGGGAGCCTGGTGTCTCTCAGGAGGCACAGGGACGCGGCCGGGCGTCACCCTGACGGAACGCCAGCCTGTGACGTGGCGCACGCAGCTCAAAGTGCCAATTCTCCACATCCACGTGTGTCCAGATGGAGAGGGGAAGCGGAGTCCCTGGAGGTAGCTGTGTGGACGTGGGGAGAACGTGCAGATTCACAGACAACATGCAGATTCACGGAGAATTAAGCCCACGTCTGTGAAGGTGCAGGACCACAGTGAAGCCAGTGCCAGGCCCATTTTTATTATTTCAGCTACAACTACAGCATACATTTCAGGGGATTTATTAGGTAATTACTCTTCTGTGATGGACTGGCATCCCAGCCGCGGTCCAGCCCAGCCTTCTGTCCTGTGCTGCCTGGGAAAGGATCCAGACCCCTTAGCAACCCTGACCAGTTGGAAGATGGATGGATGGATGGACGGATGGAAAGACAGACAAATGTACTGAATCAAATTACAATGTGTTTTAATTTTGTATCGTAGTAGATGTCATACCGTATATGAATACATGTATACAAGTGTTGAATCCAGTTGAATCCGGTCCTTCTCAGCCATACACAGAGATATATGGTATGTCACTTTCACTAATTATTCTCATAATTGCGCGATAATCTAAATCATGATTTACCGAGTCAACCACAAAGGAACGGTTCTGCTTTTAATCAAAGCTTCCGACTCGTAGCGCCCCCTAACGTTCTCCCTGCGAAGTAACACTGCTCTCTGCGTGAGTCTTTAAGCGCGGTAACAGCTCCTCTAGCCGCTAGCTGTAATACAGGTAGATCCAGGGGTTGGTGCAGCAGCTCAAACTGGCAAGCAGCATTACGATAAATGCCGGAGCTGGGGGAAGAAAATATGAATTTATGTACATTCATACTCATACAAATAAAGAAACGGGATACTCTGCTGGCCTCGTCCGACTTCTGACGTAACTCATCAAGTGGGGTTTGACAGCCCAATACATATGCAAAGCATTAAGGGACAAAATATACGAGTGACATTTATATCTACTAAATGTTTATTGATCTTTCCCGAACGGTGTGCCCTGGCCCTAGACACGGTGAGATTTTACCTTCTGTTGGCGCGCTCTGGGAGTTCCAGGTCGACCACAGCTGGAGTAGGAAAAACGGGCTCCAGCACAGCATATGAACGACAATGATGACAAATGTCATTTTGACCGTCTTTAGCATGGTCTTTGACACGCCTTTGGAAGCCGATCGACCCTCCTTTGCTGCCGACTGCAGCGATTTCCTCTTCATATTTAAGTAAATCCCTGTGCATATCTGTATCTGGCAGAAAAGTAAAATTACGGCAGGGCATATGAAGACCGACAAGGTAACCCAGGTGATGTATATCTCACTTCCCCAAGGATCAATAAAGGTGGCCTGGCAGTCGTACACGTGTTCCTGCGTTTCTCGCAGTGAGAAGATGAACAGTTGTGGAGAGCTGAAAGCCAGCGCTGTCGCCCAGGCTGCTCCGATCGCGACATACCTCCGGAAGGAGCCTCTGAAGAAGGACACGCTGGGTCTGCAGACCGCATTGTAGCGCTCCACCGTCATCGCGGCGATTAGGTACGCCGAGGCAGACATGCCCACCACCTGCAGATACTTCACAGCCCTGCAGGCGACATCGGAGCCCCTGAAGTGCGGGGTTATTCCCATAAAGAGCTGGGGGAGGACCTGGAAGAAAGCCAGAAGCAGATCGGCGATGCACAGGTGCAGCAGGAACAGCTGTGTCCTGCTGTTCCTCTTGCGCTTCTTCCAAAGTGCGTGTAAGAAAAGCAGATTGCCGAGGGCGGCCACGACGAAAACAGACCCCAAAAGTGCTACTTGGAGGAAGGGGAAGCGCCTCTCGGATCCGTGGCACGGCTCTCCCCCGGCGCTCCTGTTGCTGCAGTTCGCTTCAGCACCAAGCTCTTCCCGCATCACTTTAACTTGTAATTTAACTTGGTGCACAGCTGTTACTGAGCCAGATAAATGGCTGTGAAACGAGCGCTACATCGCCAGGATGCATTCAGTCAAGCGGGTAATGGAGCCAGGAGCCCAGCCGTGCCAAAACTACCGCTTATACAGTATGTGACAGACCTACAGCAGGTAAGGAGGCTGAGACTAAGAGACTACGTCCTTACATCCATAATCAAACCCCGTAATGATCCATCTTTTAGATGTGGTGTTAGAGCAACACCTACTCAGCTGAATGCGTAAGTAAAAGCGCGACAAGCTCGGGTTTAAGTAATTAAATTATACAATTTTAATAATAATTATAAGAAGACGAACGGTAATAATAGTGAACATTAATACAATAAAAGAATAATAATTTATATAAATATAATAACGATGATGGTTATATTTTATTATATTATTACTATATATTTGACGAGATAAAAGACGATAAAGAATGAGCTAAGTAATATTTAGCTGACTTTTTATAGCCTATTTAAAGGTTATACAGGCACGTATTTGATCAGTTCGGTTTGGGCTGAACACCGGCCTTGTTTAGCCCCGGACTTCTCTGACTTTTAGATGCATGTGGCTTAAGTCCGCCGCGGGCTTTACAGAGGCGGAGGCGCGCGAGGACAAGCCCAGCCGCGTGACATCAGAACGCCAGTGCACATCCCTCAGTATCCCTCAATACACTCTTTCTCAGGTCCGTCAATATGAGGACAAAGAGTATTCAATTCCCGCATTTATGTATATTAACTAAATCCTAATACGACTATGATTGAATATTAAACTACGTATGTAACATCTGAAACATATGCACACTGTCTATGTTAATTGTCCAATAGACCTGTTGCCTAAATCTACTTTGTTCATTAGAATTTCCCTTAAAATGCTGGTTTTCCATGTGGAACCACACAACACTGTGTGCTCTATCTGAAATTTTTGGCTTCAAGGATAAATATTGATTCGTCACACTGGTAACTTTCAATCAAATGCTGTTTTCATGCATTTTATGGCATTGGTCAGAATTTATGCACTTTGTCTGGTTTGTATCTGATTTAAATGAACCACTTCTTGGGGCAAAGTCCCTGCATGTGTGAAATTGTGTAGTTTGTGATGGCACCCTGCGATGGGGGGGGGGGTTATTCCCACACTGGCACACAAGCCCATGGCTTGGAACAATGGCAGCAGCTGCACTGGCCAGATAAGGCGGCGGTGAAGGAAGGAATATTAAAGGGCCGGTGGTGTGAATGTGATTCTGAGGTAAGTGCAGCTATTTTCACTGCAGAGCCTCCTGCGGACCGCACCCATTTAACGGCTCTCTGCTTATTCAGAGGACACTTCCATCCAAAGCAGTGTCAGACAGCCCCTGGGGGCTAATGGCCTTCTCAGGAGCCAAATGGTGACATCACAGAGGGATTCAAACCAGCAACCTTAAAGGAACCCGCCGCTAGCCGGCTGCCGGCTTCTCCGGCGGGATGGAGGGACCCGCCGGCTCTGGCCGGCTACGGTCGGCTACAGTTTCTGGAGCCTTTTCTCTCTGGCACGGCCGGCGGCCGCGCAGAAGGAGGAGCAGGGTAGCATGGGAGATGCCAGCAGCAGTGGGGCGTGTTCTTCAGCACAGTGCAGGCGGGATTCTGCGAGAGACAGCAGTGAAGACAACACTGATTGGAAAAGGAAAGATTTTTTTATTCATTTGTGGCAAAAATATGGAATTTCAATCCAATTTAAGTAGCTAATCTAAGGGAGTATTTCAGTGGTGTGGTGTGTGATCTTCTCAGCATCCATTAGTGCTGATTTTCATGCCGCACATGTTGATGTACAAATCTTGCCGAATGTTATGTGTATGCGAGTCATTCTCCTTTTCCTAATACTGCCTGTAGCTCCTGGTAATTAGCAGCCTTAATAAATGATGATTACAAACCTCGATCTCAGGTCTGTCTCAGGTCACTCTGCCAGCTCACTTCTACACGCTCCTTCCAGCTGAGGAACAGAAGGGGATTAAACGGAAAGTCTTCTTCCGAGGCCGTGAGCTGTGATTCATCACCATTACCTCCATGCAGCCAGTTAATTACATTCATGGTTCTCACTGCCTAGACTTCATCAGCACCTATTAAACAAACAAACAGCGCAGCCTGAAACTGAAGCAGCTGTTGTATGTAATGCGTTTACGTTTTAGGTATTTTAATCAGGGCCTGTGTGCATTTTGTTCAGTGCTGAAACAGCTGCTTCTTCTGGAAGGTCCCTTACCTACTTCCATGAACCACACTGGCTGTAAGACAACAGAGGTGTATTTGTTAAAAGTGTACACAAAGGTCCTACATAGACCCTACACAGAGCCTACACAAAGCTCACACAGATCCTGCATGGACCCTTAACAGAGCCTACACAGAGCCTACACAAAGCTCACAACAGATCCTACATAGACCCTATACAGAGTCTACACAGAGCCAACACAAAGCTCACACAGATCCTACATGGACCCTTAACAGAGCCTACACAAAGCACACACAGAGCCTACATAGACCCTATACAGAGCATACACAAAGCTCACATAGATCCTACATAGACCCTTAACAGAGTCTACACAAAGTTCACACAGAGCCTACATAGACCCTACACAGAGCCTACACAAAGCTCACATAGATCCTACATGGACCCTACACAGAGCCTACACAAAGCTCACACAGAGCCTACATAGACCCTACACAGACTCTGCACAGGGCCATGACTCAGGTGCCTGAGGACCTGGGGAGGAGGTGGAATGTTCTGGAGCAACTTTACGGCACCTACAGTAATAACCACACACTTGTACGGCACCTAATAACCACACATTTAATCAACCCCCCAGTGACTATCTGGGTGTACGGGTGTAATAATAGGCCCCACACAACACAAGCATAACTTGCCTGCTACTTGTATTTCCCCACAACAGCATCCTAAGAGCTGTAGGTAACACCTGGAAGCCCCCCCCTCCCCAGGCTGCTTACTCGTACCAGCAGCACTGCAGTAACTTGATAACAGTGGTCTCTGGCAAATGAATATGCTTCTGCAAACACACTGGCAAATTCGTTTTGGAGCCCAGGGCGCAGGAATAACTTTGTCTTTGTCAGGCAGCTGTTTGAGCTCCTCAACACCCCAAAGTTAGTCAGTGGTTGGGAAGCCCATTAACACTCTTCTTTTTCACAGAACAGAGACTAACTTGTCTGCAGAGGTGGGATTTCAGTTGCACATCCAGCCTCTGCTGTGGGGGGTTCCTGAGCTATGTGTGGCTCAGAGGATCCCTCTACGCCAGAGTCATTGTCAGCTCTCCTCGTCTCCATCCAGTCACTGAAGCAGCGTCTGGTTCGCCTGGGGTCCCCTGCTATCCTTATTCCCGCTCGCCCATGTCTGGGGGAGCCTATCCTGTTAGTAGGAGGCATCCTGTCCGCCACGCCTCCATCAGCGGCTGCCGATCAGGCATAGCGTGCCTGGGCTCGCCTCTTGGGGCGCATTCCTGGCTGCAGCTTCCTCCCGGGGGGGGGGCGGCGGTGCCTGCCACACCCTATGTTATCGCCCCCTGAAGCAACGCAGGCCGTCTGCGCAGGCCATCTGCGCAGGCGCACGCCAGGGCGGGCCCAGATGCAAAGGCAGAGATAATTCTCCCTGCACTGGCTGAGCGGGGCAAGGTTAGAAGGCAAGACGGCGGAGTGGACTGCTGCAGAGTGGGCGAAACCTCAGCCCGCTTCCCGGGAGGTAAGAGTGTGCCAGTCCGTAGGCATTTACTGACTTATTTACACCCAGTTTACAGTACAAGGTGGGGGCTCCTTAATTATAGGAAATTGCTCAATTATTTTTTCTGGTAAACAAATACACATTGTGAAGCTTTGGTATATAATACAATATATGTTTGCTTAAATTCTTTTATCAAACACTTATCTGTGATACTGTTAAAAGTGAAGTTTTCATTATTGTTTTTAGGAATAAGATATTGCATTTTATGTATGTTTTATTGTGGATTAGCTTTATGTTTCCCACAACGTAATAAAAACCAGTTATTTTGCCATTGTGGGGACCATTTTTCAAGGCCCCACAAAGATCTGTGAATGCAATCAAAAAAATAAAAATCCCAAAAGTCTCATATTTTGTTTGATTACTCATGGTTAAGGTTAGGCTTGGGTAGGGGTTAAGGTCATCATGTTGGGATTAGAGTTTTCCCCAAAAACTTCTAAAACCTTTGTGTGCGTGTGTGTATGTGTGTGTGCGTGTGCGTGTGTGTATGTGTGTGTGTGGGTTATAGGTGGTTGTAACGTCTTTAAAATAATAGCACACAGAACATCCCAAAATAATACACAAGCAAAGATAACAGATGCTCCTCTACTTAAGAACTTTCAACTTACGAACTTTCAGACATACGGACGAAGAGGAGTGAGTCCAATTTGTGTTTGTTGGGCTCCCGTTTCCTGTCCGCAACATCAAAATTTGTTCTGCGCGCCAATCCCGCCTAGTACGACTCATGGCCGCTACTCCCGCCGCGCAGCAGCGTAGCGTGCGGACTCCCAGCATTTCAGTTCTTTGTACTTGCGTATCGGAAAGACGTGCTCTCTTGAGATCAAAGTTAACTTAGTTTTTATTGCGAAATATTCTGTGCATCCATTATCCATCACGGTTGGTGAAACGCGTAGGTCTAGGGATGATAGTGGTAGATGGTAAGAAAACAGCAAACCATCTAGATGGAAACGAAGGCGGCGATAGTAAAAAGACTCGATGGTGAACGTAGCACGCTCTTACAATATGAAGCATTCTACAATCAGAACGATGTACAAAAGACAGAATTATGGAACGTGAAAAGTGCAGTGCCTATGTAATCGACCATAATTAGCAAGAGAAGGGGGAAGCTAATTGAGGAGATGGAGAAACTTCTCGCAATGTGGCTGGAAACCCAGAGACAAAGGAGGGTAGCGCTTAGCCTCATGCTGATTCAGGGAAAGCCTGAGCCCATCTTCCAGGACCTAAAGGCTGAGCTCATCTTCCTCCTGCCTGTGAAATGATGTTGAATAACGACTGACGAACATTTCAAGTTACGAACGGCCGTTTGGAACGTAACTCGTTCATAAGTAGAGGAGCGTCTGTACACGCGTATTATTTTATCCCATGAAAGTTTGCATTTGCACTATGTGTTTCTGGAACTTGCTAAGTAGTAGAGAGCTTCTGGCTATGGTGCTATAATGCTTAAAAACAAAGACGCTGGATTTCCAAGGAAGGTATTTTGCCTTTGTACATTTATCACATCAGTAACTAAATTCGCCCTTACTACTGCTAAAATTGAATGGGGCCAGGTGACACTGATTAATGTCCCTGCGGTTCTATCTGTGTTTCTGATGGTCATCAGACCACTTCTTCTTTGTCACAGTGGCCGTAATACACACGTGCAATTACAAAGCAGAAGATACCGGAACTTCCCACGCCGATTCTCCTCTGCAGCCGATCAAACCTCAGACAAAATGTCCTCATCGGCCATTCCGTTCAGAGGCCAGAAGTACTCTGAGCTGAAGCAGGCTTGCATAAAAGATCAGAAGTGGTTTGAGGATCCAGAATTCCCAGCTTCAAAAAAATCCCTCTTCTGCAAAGGATCACCGCCAGGAGTCGTGGTGTGGAAGCGGCCAGGGGTGAGTCATCCTGCCTGAAGACACAGCGGGAAGGCAGCTCCAAATGAGCTTGACACTATGACTCTGTGATGTGAGAAACAAAGAAGCAAAATGTGACTGATAATCAAGTGTCAGGGCTGCGTCTGGAGATGCTGCTGGATCCCTGTGTCCCATTTCCTTTTTATTAAGCTACAGACGGCACATCCAGCAGAAGTGATTTAATGGGCCTAACACTGAAAGGAAATGTTTAGCCTCTGTTTGTGCATCGTCCCTCCCCAGGAAATCTGTGAGAAGCCTCGACTCTTTGTAGAAGGAATCAGCTCCCACGACCTGAACCAGGGCATGCTGGGTAACTGCTGGTTTGTTGCTGCATGTTCCTGCTTGGCAATCAAACCACATCTGTGGAAGAAGGTGGGTTCAATAAAAAGCACCATAAAAATAAGAACGACAGATATGAAAGAAGTAAATATTTACAGTACACTATCTGGAGTAGGGCAGTGCTGTCACTGGCTTGGGTGTGATTTTGCCCCGTTCCCTATAACTGGCTTGGGTGTGATTTTGCCCCGTTCCCTGTCACTGGCTTGGGTGTGATTTCATCCAGTTCCTTGTCACTGCAGGTGATTCCTGATTGGAAAGGGCAGGAGTGGAACCCGAAGCTTCCCCAGAACTATGCTGGCATCTTCCACTTCCAGTTCTGGATCTTCGGCGAGTGGCTGGACGTGGTGGTAGATGATCGGCTGCCCACCATCGATGGAAAGCTTGTGTACTGTCACTCCACCAGCAAGAATGAGTTCTGGAGCGCCCTGCTGGAGAAAGCTTACGCCAAGTACGCCGCCCCCCCGCCGATGCACCCAAACGGCAGCCTCTGATAAGCAGGACCCTGGCACGCCTGCTGTGTTTTCTCCGCAGGCTCTTCCTGTGCTACGAGAACCTGGACGGCGGGCTGGCAGCTGACGCGGTGATGGACTTCTGCGGCGCCATGTCCGAATTCATCGACCTGAAGGCCAGGAAGTACCGATCTGATGTGGCCCAAGACACGCTCTTCCAGTACCTGAGCAAAGTGCACAACAGGGATGGAATCATCAGTTCCTCTATCAGGGTGCCTCAGCTCCGTCATGTTTCAGTGGGGAGGGGGGATTAGGCAACACCCTCAGGGGCCCAGTGGTGAGACCAGAGACTCTAGGATTTGAGTCCAAACCCACAAAGTCACACACAGCTCTCTTCTCTACAGGTTCTCTCTTTTCAGTGCCCAGGATTTAATTCACTTTCAATCCTTTTTCATTAATATTACAATAATTTTAAATAAATATTGTGACTAAGTGTTTTTTCCAGTGTTTGTTTTTTGCATGATCCATTTTGAAATAAAACGATTTACTGTATTCCCACAATCCCAAACCAAAGTGAGATCCGTGTAACGGAGCCCCGACCTCCATCATGAGACATGGCCTCACTGTCTTGCACCCCGTCCAGGCATCCCAGTCGGAGAGAGAGGCCCGCATGAACTGCGGCCTGGTCAAAGGTCACGCCTACGGGCTCACGGGGTTAAGGAGGACACAGCTGGGCAAGCAGAAGTTCCTCATGGTCCGCCTGCGGAACCCCTGGGGGAATACGGAGTGGACGGGCGCCTGGTGTGACGGGTAACCGTGACGACGGTGTCTGCTGAGGAGTCCGGAGGCGGGGCCTCTCTTACCCAATAGCAGCCCAGCTGAAAGGGCAATTTAACACCAGACCATGTTCACATCCTTTCCACTGCCGTTGTCCATGTGGTTCTTTTCAGCTCTCTTCCTTCACCCCCTTTAACTCTCACCCCCTCTCCACTGCACCCAGCTCCCAAGAATGGCAGAGAGTGGGAAGCAAGGAGAGGAAGATGATGAACCTCACTGTGAAGGACGACGGGGAGTTCTGGTGAGACGTCTGTATGTAATTGATGGATGGATGGATGACAGGGAGATTTGCTGAGGCGTTTGTATGTATGTATGGATGGATGGATGGATGACAGGGAGATCTGCTCAGATGCTTCATGCCATTCTTCATAATGCAGTATCAGGTGAAACTTCCCCACACATGTGGGGGTTTTCATGCATTTGCTCATGGTGCCCCCATTTTCCTGAAGGATGGCGTTTAGCGACTGGTGCAGGTATTTCATGGATGCAGACGTGTGCCATGTGATCAGCACCGCACCAGAGGCCATGGGGAAGACCATGCACACAGGGAAGTGGACCAAGGACAGGGGGGCCAAGCTGAATCGCAGCGGGGGAAACTTAAACAACGAGAAGACCTTCTTACAGAACCCGCAGGTACACACCCACCCCCAAGTGTCTCTGCTCTCCTGTAGTGTATTTTCAATCAGAACCCAATGGGGGTCACGAAAATGGCATGGGGGGGGGGGGCTGGGAAACATGTGCCAATGTGTGACAAAATCCCATTTTCTTGGCAGTACCTCTTTGATGTAGTGAGAGAGGAGGAAGAAGTTCTGATTGACCTGATTCAGCGAGACATGAGAATGCAGAAGGTGTTCGGGCAAGAGGAGAACCTGGCGATTGGCTTCAGTGTCATGAAGGTAGGGTGGCAGGAGAATGAGCTGCACCTGCCTGCAGGCTAAAGTCCTCCTAAATGACAGATTCTGAACTGAAGACACATGATCCTGAACTTAAAATAAGCTTGAGAGCAGATAATATCTGTTTAATAGCACTGAGTACTCAGAAACTTTATGAGGGATTTTCCCAGGATGAAATGACAAAGCAGCAAAGCCCATCTTGGTAAAAATAATGAGATTCATATTCAGTGTCCCAAGTCACATCCTCTTGAAATCTGACACATCACAGTATTTATTAAATGAATCAAGTAGTACGAACACATTTGGGAAAAGCTATACTTACAAACACTTTGTCAAAAAGTGAATTGAAAATTTCTTTTCTTTCAGGTTGAAAATCTCAGGGAGAGTCGAGTCAACACCCTGAAGACAGAGCGGATCGTGGCTACGTCTGAGTACATCCTTTCTCGCTCTGTTTTCATGCGTGAAACCTTCCGCAAGGGGAGTTATGTCGTCATTCCCACAACGTTTTCCCCTGGGCAGCTGGGAGACTTCATAATCAGAATCGTCACGGAGGAGGATTCCGGCTGCAGGTGACTATCTGCTCTGTTTGCTGCTGACAGCTCATACCTCTTTTGCACTAGTGCCGTGTCACTGCAGTGCAGGTGCCGGGCTGTGCAGTGCTGACAGGAAACTGGTTTTCAGGTGGTGCTCAAGTGTCACAACCTAAGAATGTACCCGCATTTATACTGGTTAAAAAAAAACATTTACAGCAGACTAAAAGCAAAACCAGGAATCACAGTGCGGGTGTACCGGCAGAAAATCAGGTGGGCCAGTCCCATAATTCACTTTCGGGGCAAAATCACACTACAGACTCAAGTAGATGCTCTTCTTTCACTTTTTAGATGACTGGTGGCATTACTAAGACCAAATAAACATAGAAAAGGACAAACTTATCAGCAGCACATTTCCTCAGACTGATCTAACCACGCACACACATACCCAACAGACACAGTCATTTTATCGTACTGTATGGCGTGCTGTGAACGCTGGATGGAAGGAGCTTAGCTCCATCGGGGCAGGTCCAGGACATGATGGAACCTGGGCAGGGAGTCAAGGGTCGCGTGGTGCATCCTAAATGGGCACACTGTGCATTCAGCGTCATCTACATGCTCAACTTTGTTTTTGTCCACAGGGAGCTGACAGATTAAAAAGCCAGGAGAAAATACCCCCCCCCCCAAAAAAAAAAAAATCCAGGAGCTGGTTGGAGTATCAGGATCAGGATCAGGATTCCACAAGGATATAATGTGTTACATTTATGAGGGAGTGTATGAGTGTGTGTTCAAATTATCAGTTTGAATACATCACACTAGGACATATTCATTTGAAACCATTTGAAATTTCAAATTGAAATCTATGTCATTTAGACAGACAGGTTTTTTATTGTGAAATTTTTATGCTGTATCATGAACATTTAACAATCAGACAAGCAAATCCGCTTCTTTCCGTGCCTTTACACTTGTAAAGAAAGTGCCCGAACGTGCCACTGCAGATCTTTACACCAATTATGGGAATGTTGTTTACGACTGAGTCTCTGCAAGGGTGTAGACTTGGGTACTGTTGGCAGAAACATCTCACTACCAATATAGTGGAAGTGCCGTGATTTTTTTTAAGGGGGGTGGGGGGGTCAGGGCTGAGCGTAGAAAGCAGTCATATGGTAACCCTCCGTATGTTACAAAACATTTTGTTTTGCATGTTGAAACATTTCACAGCTGACTGAAGTAGTACTTATAAAGTAACTTGTAACACTATAGAATTATTCTGGGGTGTGGAATAGCACAATAATATCATAATATTGCCCTTACATTTTCTGAAGTTCATGAAATTATTTTGGGAAAAGGTATGTTTTCATAAGTGTTTTTAATCAACACAATCATAGGCCATATGATACTAGTACACTTAAGTTTTTTAATCATAAGTCTTAGTAGGATAGAGCATATTTGTTTAGCATATTTACTCAAATAATCCAGTTCTTTCTGTCATACTCTGTTCTGAAGCTTGTGGTTGTATATTATCCACACATATCATTGCCTTCTGCTGTTTCCCGGAGACCATGCTTTCTGCACATAATTAAATAACTTCAGCGGAGCTGCCGATTGAAAGGTTTGCTTTAATTCACCTTGGCGTTAATGTCTAATTGTTACATGTTCTTGTCAAATTGAATTTTGAGGGAGAAAATGGAGGGAAAATTATTTTAATAAATTGTCATTTAAATTAGCTTTGAGTATTTTTGAGGTGTGTTTGTTCTAAAAACAAATAAAAACAAATCACTAAAATACCAGTAAAATGATATATTTTATATTTAAATTAAGAAGGCTTTTTTGAAGGCAGGTGGACGAAGAACAAGGCGGTTTAAATGGCTCACATTTGTCAAGGAGACAAGGCAGACAAGGCAGATTAAATTAGAAGTGGACCAGAGGAAAAACCAACACTCTGACTGCACTGGTTGGGCTTAAGAAAGACTGTTGTATAAGGATCCATGTAAGATTATAACTATCACCTGTTTTAAAATGGAATTGAGTAGTTACAGATTTTGCTCAAGTTTTTTTGTGTAAGAAAAGATCAGACCGTTTAAATGTTAAATGTGAAGACTTTGAAAAGTTGTGCAACATACAATTCATAATAAAGCTGGATGTCTTAGAGTTAATGCTACTGCTCCGTTCGGAAATATCGGCACCACTGCACGCCCCCTGGTGGTGAACACCGCAGTGCCCTGTCAGGGTCTGATAACCACAGAAGCCATACAGCCCATCTCCGTGTCAGGGATCAACCCCGAGGATCCCCAGATGATGTCACGAAGCCCACGCCCCCAAGGTAACCCCGACCGGTCTGACCCTCCTCAATACGGTGCCCATCCAGGTTACGCGTGTCTGCATCGGTATTTTTCCGGTTTTGCGAAGCTACGCCCTCAGTTGATTCTAGTTGTTCTAATCAGTGGAGACTATTTTAGTTTGTCTGACCTTGCGCTCAGATGCGAGATCTTCCTGGTTTATCCTTGAGTTTCAGCGTTCCTGTTTTCCATCTGCCTCCTGAGTTGTTTGACCCCTTCCTGCCTGTAGACTCAGAGATCTGTCCTGCCCTTTTGACTGCCGACATTAATTGCCTGACCATCGCTTGCCTTCTGACCACCAATACCAGTCTTGATCTCACTGATCGACCCTGCACATCACCCCACCCTTAGCTGCCCCTCGACTACGACTGGTTTTGGGTTCTGTTGGTTCTGGGTTCTGTCTGTGTTCGACCTGGACTGTATTGACTATGAGCTGCTTTACTGCCCATTAAAGCCACTATAGTACCTGTTAGCTTATGTATAGAAACGTTAAAGAGACAAAACACCACCAGAGATCTTGGGCCCCATGAGAGCATATCAAATCCCCCCAGAGAGTGTATCATATCGGGCCCCTTGAGAGTGTATCATATCG